GTAGGCTTTTTTTTTTAATTTAACAAGCCACAATGTCATTATCACCCCCAACCAAAACTAAAACCAAAAAATACTTGCAATTCTTTAAATCATCAAATATCTAGTTGGTGTTCAAATATTCAAATCTCATAAATATCACATATAATTTTTTGTAACTTCTTTGAACCAGGATCCAAACAAGGCCCACCTATTGCAATTGATTGATATTTCTTCTTCTTTTTTTGTAAATATATTTTTATTGATTTCAGAGAGGAAGGGAGAAGAAGAGAGAGATAGAAACATCAATGATGAAAGAGAATCATTGATCTGGCTGCCTCCCACACACCTCACACTGGAGATCAAGCCTGCAACCCAGGCATGTGCCCTGACTAAGAATCAACCTCCTGGTACATAGGTCAAAGCTCAACTACTGAGTCATGCTGGAGGGGCTGGTTGACATTTCTTTAAATCTACTGCTCCCCTCCATCACTTTTGGATTTTTTTTGTTGGCGGGGGGGGGGGGGGGGGGGTGGCACTTTATCTCCTGGAGACCCAGGTCCTGTAGAAGCCTGGCAGAAGTACAATGTGAGCAATATGTATAATTTAAAATTTTCTAGGACCTATGCTTTAGAAAAAGGAAAAAGAAAGCTGTGAAATTATTATTATTTTAATCTTCACCCAAGAATATTTTTTCCATTGATTTTTACAGAGAGTGGAAGGGAGGTGGGGGGGGGGGGAGAGAGAGAGAGAGAGAGAGAGAGAGAGATGTGAGAGAGACACATTGGTTGGTTGCCTCCCCCATGCTTCCCGAGACTGGGGCCAGGGATCAAACCTGCAACCTAGGTATGTGCCGTTGACTGAAATCGAACCTATAACTTTTCAGTGGGTGAGCTGACACTCAACCAATGCTCAATACCAGCTAGGGCACATGAAATTATTTTTTTAAATAGGTTTTATTGATTTTTAGAGAGAGAGGAAAAGAGAGGGATAGAAACATCCATGCGAAACTTTAATTGGCTGCCTCCTGCACGCCCCCTACTGAGGATGCAACCCACAACCCGGACATGTGCCCTGACTGGGAATCAACCTGTGATCTCTTGGTTCCTGGGTCTACACTCAACCACTGAGCCACACTGGCCAGGCTATTTTTAACAATATGTTTTTTTAACCTAATGTATCCAAAATATGATTTCAACATATATTCAATTTGAAAATTATTAAATATTTTACATTCTTTTTTTCATAGTAAGTCTTCAGGATCCAGTATGTATTGTTTCCACTTTGAGCATGTCTCAGTTTGCTGCAGCCACGATCCAAATGCTCAGTAGTTACATGTGGCTCGTGGCTCTCATTAGACAGTGCTGTGCTTGTAGTTTCCCACAGTGTGGAACTCGCTGATGCAACTTTGTCGTGGTACTTACTGTGTGTGTTCCTTTGTCCCCTATGTTTCCTGTAGACTTGGACTTGGGTCAAGAAGCTCGATCAGTCTTTTAGGTGTGGAATTTTTATTTCTGTTTGCTTTTGTTTGTTTTTTTGTGGTGCTGCATTTGCCTATCAGGAGGCACATCCTGTCCAGGCCTCCTCTGTTGTGATATCAGCAGCCCTCCTGTCAATGCTCAGACACATGAGTTCATTAGAGATGAACCATCTTCTCATTTCTAAACGTTTGAGCATTTACCAAGCTTTATGTGGTTTTCTGAACTCTTCACAAATCTTCATATTTTTACAATGTGCTTTTCAGTTTATTTTTTTTAAAGATTTTTTTGTTGATTTCAGAGAGGAAGGGAGAGGGAGAGAGAGATAGAAACATCAGTGATGAGAGAGAATCATTGATCTTCTGCTTCCCACATGCCCCACCCTGGGATCAAGCCCGAAACCCGGGCATGTGCCCTGACTGGAAATCAAACCGTGACCTCCTGGTTCGTAGGTTCACACTCAACCACTGAGCACACCAGTCAGGCTTACATTTCTTTATGGTTTAAAAAACAAGTTCAGGATTTTTTAAAAGGGACTTTTAAATTAAAAAAAAATTGTAACAGTTATGCCCGGCCATAAGAGAGTACGGTTTAAGTAAATCCTGTAATCTGCATGGTCCGGGGAGGTTTTTCTAGAAGAGAATACTGAAGCAAAAGCTGAAAGGTACCATGTGAAGATGGGTGGGGGTGGGGGTGGGGTGGGAAGGTTGTAGCATCCCAGGTGAAGGAGACAGCAAGCTGAAAGGTGGGAACAGAGGGATGCAAAGGAGGCCTTGTGGCTGGAGAGAGCTGTTGATGGCAAAAGAGGAAGAAATAAAGTCTGAGAGGTGAAGGGGGCAGATATGCAGGGCCTAGTTGGCTGCAGGGAGAACTTTGACTATTAAGTTGAATAAGATGGAGCCAAGGGAGGATTCTGAGTGGAAGGACGGGGCGGGGGGGGGGGCGGGGGGGGCGGGGGCGGGAATGTGACCTGACTCAGATGTTTCCAGGGTCCCTTCACCTGTGTGTAGGGGACAGACTTTGGGAACAGATGGGGAAGAGGGAGACCAGGGAGGAGGTTGCTATGATGGTCCAATGGGAGACAATGCGGGGGGGCCTGGATGAGGTCCATTAAAGGGGGGAAAGTGTGTGGATCCTAGATCTGTCGAAAGCAGAGCTGACAGATTTGCTGATGGGTCAGGGGTGGGTGGTGAGATAAAAGAGAGGAATCAAGGATGACTCCTGAGATGGGTAAGACTGTGGGAGGATAGGTTTTGAAATCAAAAGTTCAGTTTGGGCCATTTCCAATTTGGGGTACAGATCCACAAAGAGTTGTCAGGTAGGGTTTCAGCTGGTTTGGATTCTGAAGAGCAGTCAGGGCTGGGATGCAGACTTGGCCATCAGTGGTGTGAGGTGACATCCAGAGCCTTGGCCCTCAACGATATCTCCATGGAGAGTGTATATTTAAAGAAAATGATGCAAATTCCGGGCCTGGAGTCGCTCAACTTTTGGGATCTGAAAGAGAAAAATACTTCAACATAGGAAACTGACAATAGTCAGAGAAGAAGGCATTTCAAAAGAAGGGAGTGGGCAAATGGATGACAAAGAGAGAGCAGCAAATCACAAGAGCAGAGTCCAGGACTGAATGGAGGGGATGGAGTTCCAGGCCCCCAGTGGGCAAGGGAGCACTTTTAAGGGGACAATGTCACACTGCATCATAAAGGGAGGAGATAGTTCTGTGGAGTGAGGGTAGAAGGTGAGGAGTTCCTGTGTGATTATGTCTCCACATTTTGCGGTTTCTAGAGCCCTTCATGATTTGCAAAGCATGTTACTCATTTAGAAAGCATTTTGCAAAGTTCTTGACTACAAAGCACTTTTTAGAGACAGAAAATTTCGCTTTTGTTCATACCCAGAGCAGCATTTCTCAAACTGCATGTGGCAACCTACCTGTGGATCATGAAATTAGTTTCGTTAAGTCATGACCAACATCTTTAGAAATAAAATAGAACATTACAGAGTGAGTTGCACAGTGAAAGTCAGAATTGTGTCATGAAACCTCTTTTTTATGAAAATGTGTTCTTACTGTGGGTGCAGTCAAAACATTTGAAAAACTGCCTTAGAGAGCCTCTTGCATAGGAGATCAGCACCAGAATATTCCATCTAAGTGTTGCCTGCAAAGTAAAACACTGGAAACAGCCTCAATGTCCGTCATCAGGAGAATAAAGAGTTTTATTTTTCTAAAACAGGAATACTGCAATGAAATGAATTCATTTGATCTAGATATCAACATGGATAGATCTAGAAAACATATAGTTGGCCTAGCTGGTTTGGCTCAGTGGGTAGAGCATTGGCCTGAGGACCAAAGGGTCCTGAGTTCAATTCTGGTCAAGGGCACGTACGTTAGTTGCAGGCTTCCCCCCGGCCCAGGCCCTGGTCAGGGCTCATGCAGGAGGCAACCAATTGATGTGTTTCTCTCACATTGATGTTTCTCTTTATTTTCCCCTCTCTCTTCTACTCTCCCTAAAAATCAATGGAAAAATATCATCAGATGAGGATTAACAAGAAAAAGAAAAAAAGAAAACATACAATAGAGTGAAAAAAAGCAAGTTTCAAATTACATGATCCTTTAAATTTAAAAAATGCACAGGATACTGTATATATTTTTTTTGTAGAAAAATGTTGGGATATAGGTAGTAAAAGTATTGACACATGTTTAGGATAGTGGGTACCTTGGGTGCAAGGTGGGTCCAGAGAAGGATATCAGATAGGACTCCAATCATACCTGTAATGTTTTAGTTCTAAAATATGTAAAAAAAATGTAGTATTTGAAAAATATCTCCTCATGAGCATTTGTTAACCCTGGGTGATGGGCATATGACTCTTTGTTACCAGGTGAAATTCAGAGGCCTCCATGCGTCAGGTGTCAATTATTTAGTTGCTGGAAATGTGGGAGGGGCATTGGGAAAGGGACAGAGGTTGAGGCAAGTATTAATCAGGGGGCTGGCCTGGAGGAAAGAGTAGTTACCTAACTTGGAGACAGAAGGAGCTGTGTGGACAGGGCTGTAGGACTCACCGTGGAGCAAGGGGCACAGCCAGCACAGGGAGGAAGCCAGGGCAAGAAATGCCACAGCTCCATCCTCCACCTACAGTCAGAGGACCAAGAGAGCCTATGGTGCAGGCCATGGGGGCCATCAGGCAGGGGAAGCGGGGAAGACGGTAGGGTGGAGAGTGGCCTGTAAGGGCACACCAGGACAGCACATAGGGAGCGCAGGGCAGCATGTGCTACTACACAAGTGCTTAGTTTCATCAGGTCACATCTTACAATCTCTGAAATAGAATGTATCTTACAATGGATGGTGGCTCACCTTTGTGGAAAAACAGCATTTTAACATTTTAATGGCTGGTACAGCCATGCCAGTGCCAACATGCTGACTGCCAGCCTTAGGTGCTGGTGATATGATTCTGGACCTTTCTGTCTTCATGAAAAGTCCAGAGTTGTTTTAAGAAGAGCATTGAAGCTCCCAGGCCACCCCTCTGACCTCCTTCCCCACCCCTGCCCACACCCAGGCCATGGACAGCCAGAAGCAGTTCAGCAGTCCGGAAATCCAGTTCCTGCTGTCGTGCTCTGAAGCGGATGAAAACGAGATGATCAACTGTGAGGAGTTCGCCAACCGCTTCCAGGAGCCAGCCCGCGAAATCGGCTTCAACGTGGCGGTGCTGCTGATCGACCTGTCAGAGCATGTGCCGCACGACCCGCGCCTGCGCAACTTCCTGGAGCTGGCCGACAGCATCCTGGAGTACTTCCGGCCCTACCTGGGCCGCATCGAGATCATGGGCGCCTCTCGCCGCATTGAGCGCATCTATTTCGAGATCTCAGAGACCAACCGCACCCAGTGGGAGATGCCCCAGGTCAGAGGGCCTGCATGCTGGCTCCCCGGGTTGGGGGTGACGCTCCTCGCACCCTTGGACTCCACGCAGGGCTATGCATGCTTTGTACATCTGGTCTGAAGACCCTGGTGGGCCTTTGCTCTGCTCCTACAAGCTCATGCCCACCCTTTTGCACACATTTTATGGGTCCTGCAGTGCCCTTGTACACCCTCAGTTCCCCCTTGTCCACCTTCTGCAGCCTTGGCGCACACATAGATGCACACCCCTAGTATGTGAAGCAGAGTCTGTGTGCCCTCACTGTGGTGCTAGCACACTATGCCTACCATTTGCACACTTATCCTGGGAGCCCTTATGGTCCTGATGCAACCAAGCCCACACCTTCATCTACTGGAACCCACCTCCCTTGCTCACCTTCCCAGCAGACACCAGTTTGCCCTCTTTTGGCCCTGGCCTATCCATGCCCACATTTTTGCACACTCACTTTGGGGGTTCTGGGGGCCATGATATGCTAGCCTAGCCCTCACCAGCCACCATATATGCCCACAGGTCCCAGCACACAATGCCCATCCCAGTTATTCTGGTCCCACATGTAGGTACACATCTCTTACACACTCACTTGGAGGATGCAGTGCTGGCATGCCATATGGTTGTCCATTCACCTCCCACATGCCCTCACTGTAGCCCTGGCACACTCATAATCACCCATGCACACTTTGGACGACCCTTTCAAACCCCCATAAGAGCCCCCACATGTCCTTAGTGACCAGGCCTACTTCTTGGCCCTGTCTCAGCCCCTCCTATGCCCAACCCAAAAGTTTTCATGTCTTTACACATTCACTTACCCCAAGAGTACACTCATGTGGCCCTAGAACACCTCCTGCCCACCTGACACACTTAGCTTGCATGTGGTTCCTATCATTCACTCTCTCTCACTCCCACATGCCCCTCACACACCCTCAGTCCCCAGCTGTGCCCCTGTTGTCCCGGTGGACCTCCTGCTCACACACACATTGCACACCAGCCTGCGTGCGTACCCCTTGCATGCCCCTTAAACTCACGCTTCCATTTTGTTCCTCAGATGCCCCGAGGCACCTGCATACTCCTCCACATGCTCTTGCACACCCTTTCCCACTTATAGCCCATGAAGCTTATACCTCCACAACCTCCTCAACAACCAGGCCCTCCGTGTCTCCTCAGTGGACACCTGGCTCATGCACAGCTGGGCTCATGTCCCACACTGAGCCCTGTCTTCATATCCTGGGCCCTCACACCGACTCCTGGGGCCCACTTGCACATTTATATCTGCTTCACATACACTGACCCTATGAATCGTAGGCCCTTCCCACACCAGCACTCTCCCCACACCCTGTTTTGGCTCAGTCCCTTGCATGCCTGCGCCATGTGCCCATCTCCACATGTACAATGAGCCCCACATG